TGTTTCGTCTTTTGTGCCTTTCTTTTGTCATAGTGGGGACAATTGCGAATTTCAGTAGTCTCAAGTTAAGTGTAGTCTATCTTTTTAGATCTTATTATTATTATCTAGAATGTAGCTGATGCTAGGGAATTTGACACAGAATGTTATGTGATATCACGCATGTGCTTTGTTCTTTCAACACGCACAATATAAAGTGCGTTCTCTGCTCAAAGAATTTTGTGGATTCATAGCTATAGTTTTCATGGAGTTCTTTATGAAAATAAAATTAATAGTTTAATACAGTAATAGATAGGGATCATTACACAAACAAATGACCGAATTCACTATTTACTTTTCCTAGTCAATAGACATGGATTAAACACTGATTATACATGGTTATACACATTAATACATGGATTACGCGTAAAGTATACATTCGCCGGCTATTTTTAGTTTTAAGCAGTTGGATGGGCGGCTATTTAGGTTAATTCTTCTAATTGATATAGTTCTATCTTCTTTAAATTTTCTTCTTGTCCAAGTGCCAAACTAAAGGTAATGTTTCATCTGATCGCAGGGTACAGATTCAGGAGTTGACACATATTTTGGGCTCTGCACCTATCCTGGCCGAGAATTACGACATCGCATTGACTTTAAGGTATACTGATGAGATGTCATTTGTTTGGTCAAGCAATGATCTTCATTCGTCAGATATTTTTGGTTGCGTACAGATTTAGTGGTATTTTAATTGATGACAAATATGATGAGTATCCTCGTTCCACTATATATTTGGGCAAAATATAAATTTGGCCGGTTGGCCGAAGCTATTTGCATTCGCTAGCCAAAAAGTATATAAATATGTATATTATATGTATATAGTACACAAATATACAAACATTATATTTGTCGGCGATTATTTTTGGGAGTGGCAAAAATACACATTTCTCAATATTTTTGGTGCTTTACAGATGTAGTGGTCAATTTAGTTGATGATAAGTATGTGGAGCGTATATCCTCCTCCCAGAACTTGTTTGCAATTATTTTACCAAAAACGATGCCAAATAGAAATCTTTATGATATATGAGATGCTGAGTATCACCGGTCTTCGTTCTCATGAATAAACTGAAAAATAATCAGGAAAGAGTAGCTTGGTTTGAGAATAGCTTTTGTCTCATATTGGTTTGAGTCCTATTAAGTATTAACTGTTGACGATTTTTGTCATACGTTAAGTGCACGATCTGGATCTACGTTTGTTCATTAGATGCTATTGGAAATAACATGCACGAGTAGTTCTTATATGTAAAAGTTGCAACCTCTGACTTTCTGTTGTTAGGTGTATCCAAGGGATATATATGCATTTGGACTGATAGCATGGACTGGTAATGACGTCTTGAATAGGAGGTATGCCCCCTTTTACTCACTACCAAGCGATACCAGGGAGTCTATTTGGCTGGTTCTCTATAATATAATTCATCTTCCAATTTCTTTTACAGGCTTAGATTATTAGCAGAGTCCAAGGGTTTCCATTTAGATGATACAGGGCTATTTCCAGCTACTCATGGTGCCGGTGGGAAACGGGTATATAATTTTCTTGGTTGCTGCAATCATAAGTTCCACTTTGTTCCTGTTTTTATTTTTTCTTCATTTTTCGTGTTGGTGTGATTCGGCGTCTAATGCACAGACTAAAGGTAGTGCGAGCTTGAAGTTTGATACGGAGAAACAAGTTTTTGATTTCCTTGGATTTCCCTGGCTCGAACCGAATGAAAGGAACTTGTGAGATCTGCAACACGAATTTGATCTTCCTGCTACGCCAGTTTTGCTTGCTTTTGGTGATCAACACTGGATACCACAATTCCAGGGGAGATAACAAGTTGATCAAGCTGAGTTTTGACTTCCATGTCTGAATTGTATGGAACAAAATGTATGAGATGTAAAGGTTATGTATCTAGGTGTATCATAGAGCATGTATATATGTAAAGTCTTGTAGAATAGGTAAATCTTTTTAGCCATGGAGCAAATGCACTTCCTTTCCTAACCCAAGATCAGTACTTGAACGAGCAAAATGCAGTGAGGGAATGTTCTTTTTTTTTTCTCTCTTTTGTTTGTCATCTCCTTTGATAATTTTGAACTTTTCTTATTTAATCAAGGTGTAACTCCAAAATATCTATGCCTTATGGAGAAAATAATCTCGTTAGGAAAAGCATAGTACTAAAACAAAAACAATGGAAGAAAAGGAAAGAGAATTCCTAAAGCAGAAACAAATATCTGAATATAATAATAGTGCGGAGTAACTAATATTTTCTCCATTCACCTTTAAGTGTACATTATACTAAAAATATATTTTTATTTTTATTTGTCGATTTTAGTAAATAAAGACAAAAGTAACTTTTTTTCCTTATTTTACTCTTATTATTAAACTACTCATTCCCCAAAGTATTATTTAATACTTTTTAAAATGCTATTATTATTATTATGAATTGTAAAATGTGTATTTTATTTATTATTTTAAAGGGCATGCCAAATTCATTGTGGACAAGTTAAAAAAGCAGAGGCAGTATTAAATAAATATTCTTATTTCCTACTATTTCCTATTAGCACTTGTACGGGTCTGCTTTCAAAAAGTAACGACTATGTTAAAGGGAATAATTACTAGGAACAGAGATAAAAATATCAAAAACAAAAAAACTATAACCCAAGTTTAAATTATCTCTTCAAGGTATTTAAAAAAAATAGCGTTCGATGTAATCATGTCATGTAACTATATAAACCCTTTTAAATATCTCTATTGTCTAAATATTTCTTTCCAGCATTAGGGGATAAGTAAAACTCTGTTTAATAAAAGGACTGTTATTATTTGATAAGATAATAAGCAGAAAAATACTGGGAGTAGATAACAGAAAAGTGTAGCACTGGGTGGGCGCGGCAGCAGAGAAGTAAGATGGCTTCGGCTATACCAGTTGTCTCCTCATCCATTCTTATTTCTTCTTCTTCTCCCTCAGTTTATCTTCCATTTTCAACAAGTTCAGTCAATTGGGTTTCAGCTTCTTCCTCAATTTCCACTTGGGTTTCTTCCAATACCTTAAAAAACAGCAAAAGTAGAAACCTCATTTGCAGAGCTGCTGAATACAAATTCCCTGACCCCATTCCTGAGTTTGCTGATGCTGTAAGTTTTCTTCTTAATTTATTTGGATCTCTTTTATTTCCCCGTTTGCAAAAGAGTCTAAATTTTTTATTTGGGGTTTTGTGGGGTTTTAGGAAACGGAGAAGTTCAGGGATCATTTAGTGAAGAAACTTCCAAAAAAGAAGGATGTCTATGGAGATTCTATTGATGAAATTGTCGGAATCTGTACTGAGGTACTTCCCCTATCCTCTACGTTTTTTTTTGTGGGATTTTGTTTTTTAGTTTAATTTCTCAATACTTCTTATGCATTTTATTTGTGTATACTTTGCTGCTGGCTTTCGTTAATGGTGCTGCAATAATCTTGCTTTGTCACACCAAAAATTTCCTCTGTTTTAGATGATATTATCCAGTGAGACATACTTTATCAATCAACTACTCCTTCACATAGACGGGGAGATTATAGTGAGATGTACTAATATAACAGCAGTCGATACTAACCGCATATATATACCCTTGTAACAGCCCAGCCCATATTGTCCGCTCTGGGCCTAGGCCTTCACGGGTTTAAAACGCGTCAATAAGATCTAAGGCTTGCTAACTTATATACCCAGCGTTCATCTTGTGTTTTACCGATGTGGGACTCTGTCCAAAGTCTGGGGTGTTACAACCCTCTTCAACTGTTTGATATCCTATTTTGTTGTTCGTAACTGCATCTGAATAGAGCAGAAAGAATACATATAATTCATGTAGCCAGCTCCGATTAATACGGGATAGAGATGTAGTTGACTCATTGTCTGAACGTTATACTCCAGTTTGTTTGGACCCGTCTAAACTGGAACTAGAATCTTCCTTTGAGAACAATAGCCAAAGTAGTCAACCACAATGTAGCACAAGATAAAGTTGTATAATCTTGTATGCAGTTTTTACTCTTAAGAATAGCCTCGACCAAGATGCTTTTGCTTGTTGAAACTTTTCAAGCTTGTCTTGTTTGTTTCTTGCTTGAAACTATGGCAAGGTCTGAAAGTATGTTGAAATACGTTTGCTGAAATGATACTTTGAAACAGATTCTCAACGATTTCTTGCATGCCGAGTATGGTGGTCCAGGAACACTCATGGTCGTTCCATTCATCGATATGGCAGATACTATAAACGAGAGAGGTTTGCCAGGAGGACCGCAGGCTGCACGTGCTGCAGTCAAATGGGCTCAAACTCATGTAGACAACGATTGGAAGGAATGGACTAGTGGCAAGACTGGCAAGAGCAGATAAATCAACGATCAAGATCTAAAGCTATTGGTTTTGATTCATGCTGTAAGAGTCACCATATCTATTTGTAGTTCTGACGTGGTGGGAGAGTGAACTTATTTACCCATGATTGTAATAGTCCATGATAGAGAATAGGATTTAGAAGTTTAGGATCTTATAAATGAATCAAGGTCTCTCTCTCATTATTTGAGGCTGGTTCAGGTGTTAAACGATATCTACTATGTGCATGCTCTGTGAGTGTCATGTTATGATGCACAATGTTAAAAACTCCATACATTGCTACTCTTCAGATGCTCAACATTCAAACATTAGCTGTTATACTAAGAGGAGATTACTCAGTTTTCAAGGAGCTCCTGCTTGACACAAAGCTGACATACAACAGGAATAGTTACTCCCATATTATCTGGAACCTATTATCAGCCTGGATATTTAACTTAAGAGTGGTGCAACAGAAAAAGCCAACTCCGCCATTATTTATAAGGAATTTCCTCCAACAGCATGTGGATGAGAAGTTTAACGAGCAGAATGTGATTAATATCGAACTTGCGTGCTGACATAAAAGGTACTCAATGGCTGAGCAAAGAAATGTTTCTTTGGTGCAGAAGAATGACAATACGAATAAATGACATAAGATGAAATAAACGAAAAGGTCAACACTCTGCACTGCAAAAGATATTACTGTCAAACTTGGTTAAGCGCTTGAAAGCCACAAGGTTCAATGTACAAACGAACACGGGTACTAAGCCAACGTACCAAAGTATCTATTATGAAGAAAACTTGCAGAACTAACTCGACAGTCGATTTTCTTTATCTCGAACGTGGTGTATTTTCACCAATGACAAAATGACAGCTATTAGCTTTTTCATTCTTATCAAAATGAAAGCATTCTCAATGCTCCACACTCATGCATATATCTAGCGTATTAAGATGTACACTATGGATGGACTACGTATTTACAACTCCAATATTTGGGCAGACCAAAAGAATGTCGATTGAAACTTCCTTATGACAAGACCTCCACTCTCCGACCCATTGAAGCAGCACTTCACAAAACTGATCGGCTACGTTCCAGCAACTCTTCCCTATCAATGAAGCGGTAAAGCAAGTATTGATCCCAGAGGACTAAACAGTCATCACCCTTCCCGAACCAGTTATACCGCTTCTTGGCAACATGATCGTAAACAGCATTCCTTAAAGGAGTAGGTATAATCATGAGGGTGCTCAGTGCAGAGTAAGGTAATGGCAGGTGAGCTAGAACCCTCAGTGCAGCTGCAGCAAAAGTCGGATACATTATACTGGTGATCTGCACAGCTTCATCACAGAAATTTTGGAAATATAGGCTAATGAATAAACCGGACCATTCTAACTATAGTCAAATACCAAAGCAACATATTTCTTGATTGTGCAAGAATAGAGAGCATCTGCAGAAAAGCTGCTACGCAGACTGGATTTCCACATACAGAAAGCAAGCAGCCTACGAGGCTCAGTATTCCACTTTCAATGGACCAAGGTTACTTTTTCATTGTGGAGCATCAAATAGATTAAATATAAGATAAGACGCGAATCTAGCCGATAGTTAAATCCCTTGAGATTTGGTTAGTATAAGTTCAAAGTGTTTTTCACTCAATTTATGATTGCTGAAATAGCCAACAAGTTACATTCTGATGTGGAAAAAAATAACTACTGAATAAAGTTGTAAAGGGAAGAACAATGAATAATGTTAAACACCCAAC